CTGTGCGGATTGAGCAGAAGCAGCGCTTGTTTCCGCAGTTTCCTTTGTTAAAGCTAGCTGCGATCTCAGGTCCTCCACTTCTTCAAGAAACTGCTCCTCAAAAGAAAAAAGAAAAAAGAAAAAAGAAAAACGCACAAGAGAAACATTCTTAATAATTCAATCAAGAAAGATTTAATAAATAGGTAAGCAAACGATTCAACAACCGAGCAGGACTTCTACCTAACTAGTTGCATTGAGTGTTCAAGAAAGTAACGGTTCTTGAGTTGCATTGAGGGAAGCCTTTTTGATCAATAACTGATCAAATTAGTTCATTTCATCACAAAGAATGTAACTTTTCAGGCCAAATCTAGAGACCTATGTTATTTAAAGATCAGCTTGTTCCTTTGACCCAGTTAAGATTCTAAAAACCATTCAAAGGATGTCTTTTTGAACAAGTCAAGCGTCACAAGAATTTTATTATATAATAAATTCGAGATAGAACACAGTCAACATTCCACACTCAGCTTCATCTACCTTTACTGAAGATCTTAAAAGGGCCATAGATCCAATATATACCAAAGTATAATGATTAGCACAGAAAGTTGAAACCAAGTATACTCATTCAGTAACCATGTAAACAAAACTTCTCAGAGACCCAAACTTTTTCAGACTATAATATCAAATGTGAAGTCTTTTAAGTTTATACAATATTATAAAGGAAAAGCCAAAAGGGAATGTAAAAGTTAAAACCTTTGTAGCAGCAGATGTTGAAGCTTCAAGCTGACAACTTCTATCTTCCAATGTCTTCTGCAATTTACAGATCTCTCTTTCCATGTTCTTAGCTTTTGTCTCTGCCTCCTGGAGAAAACAAAAAACAAAAAGCAAAAACTAATCATTTCTCCTATGATACAAACAAATAAACCCAAAATTTACCCCACAAAGACACAAACCAAAGGAAGAATCAATCAGAGAATAAACAATTAGAGGGAGTTACTTTTCTAGAAAGGCTTTCTTTAACGAAGAGTTGTTCTTGAGAAACCAAACGGCCTTTCACTTGATTTAGCTCAGCCGCCATAGACACCACGTTCCTCCGGAAACTCTCTTTCTTCCCATCTAAATCTTTCAGAAGCGGATCAACCGTCGTTTTGATGGATTCAGACATCAGGGTTTTGTCGGATCTCTCATAAAATTTAGTGAATCTGTTTCAAGCATCAGATCAAATCTCAGAAACTCTGTAATGAAGAAGAAGGAGCAAAACTATATTCAATGCACTGAAAAAATCTAGAATTATTAACATACAAGAAAACAAAGAGTGGATCATTAAAGTATGAACTTTTATTATTGAAATCGAATTTTAAATCTGTTTCTTCAGACAGTGAGAAGCAAACAAAACATCAAAGGAGTTTAAAAAAAAAAAAATTGCGACTTTACGAATTCTTGTGGACACTAAAAGATGGAGAGAGAGTTCACAGCAGGAGCTTTGATTTCTCGGGAAAAATCGTCAGACAAATCAAAGCTTCATGTCCATTTTCTTTCGTGACAGAGGAGAGAGAAAGGAAACACGTAAAACCCAGTCAATGAATTTCAAATAAATGAATTTGGCTTTGTGTGAGAGAGACATACAACTGGAAAAGATTAAATTATAATTATTAGTTTTATTTCTAAACCTTTTGATTATTATTTTCCACTGATTACGGGTTGAGAGTTTATTATTTTATGATTATAAAAGGGACTTTGAACTTCACTGATTATATTATTTCCCTCCGAATTCCTCGATATTTTCAAACCCAATTTTTTTTTGTAAAAAATGTTAATATTTTTTTTTGGTCAAATAAAAAAAAATGTTAATATTATACCCCGGGAAAGAAGAAACAAATACCAAACAAAATGTATAATTGGATTAAAGGACTGGTAAGGAGTATGTCTTGAATCTTGATATATAATTGGATTATTCTATAAGTTGAATAAAACGTGTATTTATTGAAAACTTAATTGTTTTTGCAAACATACAAAACATAACTATTCGTAAACACTTTGCATGCTTTGTTTTATAGCTGGAAATGAGTGTAATGAGCAAATTGATATATCTACACGATAGTATTCCACAAAATGCATTAATTAGCTGGAGCAATCAAAGAAAAGTATGCTTTTCACATAGTCCTTTTATACATGTTTTATTCCAAACAATGATGTTTGATAAAATAATGTGTTTATTTGTTTATGTTTGTTCGTCACAAACTAATAAATATTATTTATTGTTAAGTGCTCATGAAAATGTTTCATTATCTCATTGGAAAAAACACAGCGACCGAAAATAAATGGAGAAGATAGTACCCAGATTTTGTTTATTCAACCTTATAAGTAGGAAAAGGTTTGTAATATATTAATCAGTTTATTAGTTGGATCATGCAGAGGTGGCTGTGTTTAAGGGACAATGTCGACACAAGAGACAAAGATAGAAGAAACGTGGAAAGGGAAAAGAGAGTGGTCTTAGGTCCGGAAATTAATACGTTCGGTTATTGGTTTGGTGTTTCCGAACCTCTCTAGCTCCAGAAGTCCAATGTCCAGACAAAAAGAGAGCAACATGAGCCATTTTTATTCTTTCGCTTGAACAGAAACGTAAGAATATATTATTGTCTAAACTCCAAAAGCTTCCAGAATTAATGAAAATCAGTTATTTTCTAACTTTTCATGTGAATAAAGTTAGATACGAGGGGGACTGTTCGTTTCTTCATTCAAATGATCCATTCGAATGGAGATGAGCTTTTTGTTCGTTTAGACACAAAAAGTACAACTCATTCCGATGATCCATTTGAATGATTTTTGGAAATTTAGGCTTAATTTTAAAGTTCATTCAGCTGAACGAATTTGGATCATTTGAATGGAGATGGTTCATCCAAAATGGTATAATGTCTATTATGCCCTTGTTGTAATTCACAAATTACAAACTTAAACATAAATTATTCCGTGACACACGAAAACTGAAAAAATCCACAAAATCTCGTTTTCCCGCCAAATCCGAAAAATCTCGTTTTCCCGCCAAATCCGAAAATCTCGTTTTTCCTAAAAACCAAAAAATCTCGTTTTCCCGCCAAATCCAAAAATCTCGTTTTCCCTAAAACCAAAAAATCTCGTTTTCCCGCCAAATCCAAAAATCTCGTTTTCCCTAAAAACCGAAAAATCTCGTTTTCCCGCCAAATCCGAATAATCTCGTTTTCCCTAAAAAACCGAAAAATCTCGTTTTCCCGCCAAATCCGAAAAATCTCGTTTTCCCGAAAACCGAAAAATCTCGTTTTCCCGCCAAATCCGAAAAATCTCGTTTTCCCGCCAAATCTGAAAAAATCTCGTTTTCCCTAAAAACCGAAAATCTCGTTTTCCCGCCAAATCCGAAAAATCTTGTTTTCCCGCCAAATCCGAAAAATCTTGTTTTCCCTAAAAACCAAAAAATAAAATCTTGTTTTCCCAAAAAACCGAAAAATCTCGTTTTCCTGGCAAATCTGAAAAATCTCGTTTTCCCGCCAAAATCACAAAATCTCGTTTTCCCGCCAAAATCACAAAATCTCGTTTTCCCTAAAAATCCGAAAAATCTCGTTTTTCCGCCAAAACAGCAAAAATGCATTTTCCCGCATTGTTGGAGGTTGATTTAGTTTAAATATATTTTAGACTAAATAATATTAATTAGTATAGTTATAATTAATAGCAAACATATGATTAAATCAAAACAAGGGTATATATGTAATTTGTTTATCAAACTCATTTGAATAGAAATAAGAAAAAAGAAACAAACATGAAATTCATTCAAATGGTTCATTTAGATGACTCATCTAGATGGAAAAACGAACAATCCCTAAAATCTGGATGGATCATTTAGATGGTTCACATACATGGATCAGCTGAATGGAGATTATAAATGGAGAAACGAACAGCCCCAGGGTAACCCAAATGACTTTGGTGATGTTTGTATACGGCCCCATATCAACTCAAGTAAGCCATTCATGATTCACCTAGCTGTATTTCTTTATTCACATTTGATCTTCGACCTGTATCAGTAACAAACATTTATATATTAATAATCTAGTGTTTTTTTGTTTCAGAGTTGGGCGAAAGCAGTTGACGTTTTGGTACATAATGTGATACTAGGTGACTGGAGCATAAAAATATAGTGCGATATCGGTTGAGATTTGATAGAAATGTTTTAGTATTGAACTCATTGATCTCCATGTATTGCAAATGCAAAAAAAAAAACTGATACTGACATACCGTGCATCTTCAATGTAGAAGAAAGTGGGACAAGTGAGAGTTTCAATGTTGAGATAGGATCTTCTTAAATTTTCAGAATGAAGTATGGTAGAGATAAAAAACGAGTTGCATAGCTCTTCTTCCGAAAGCAGCCTGTGCAGACATAGAATATTCAAAATATGGAAAAGGTAATACTGTTCAGTTTTAGAAGTTACATATTTTACATTATCACTACGTGAAGTTGTGTTGTATGAAAGCTGTAATTGTATATTTTAGGTGGAATATTATATTTATGTTTTTATATTTTTGCTTAAAACAGTGACATATTAAAAGAAAATATGGTAAGAATTGAACTATATAATCAAACACTGCAAAATAAGAAAGTACATTTCGCAAGAAAAAAATCCATAAGAATTACATATAATAATGAGTAATATAAAATAAGAAGTACAATTCGCAAGAAAAAAATCCCAACGAAACCTAGAAAAAGTTATTTAATTTTGTTAGCAAGTATACGATATCAAATCATTTTAATAAATTTCTAAATATTATTTAGACGAAAATAATATTAAATTTACATACTGTTATCGAAGTAGTCTGAAAACTGCTTAGTAGTCAACTACAACTGGTATTTCGTCTGTGTTATTTATCTGTTAATAGAAGAAACAAACAAATTTAAAATTTATTTTTTATTTTATTTTCATCAAATAAAAAAGACTAAAACTGCATACCATTCACTCTCAAATATTCTGAAAAACTTGTTTGTAGACAACATTCGTTGTTTTTGTCTGTGTCTTCCCTTGTTTATTCGTTATTAGGATTTTTAATTCATATTTGGACTGTCTTCGCTGGTTAGATTATATTTTTTAGATACCTAGTAAGTTCAGGTCATTTTGGATTGCACGTAAAATTGATGAAAAGATCTCAAAATCCAAAGTACTTGCACAGAGCCATGGCATCATAGTATGCTGCTTCATATACCTTTTTCCTCCGTTGAAATTTGCTGGGATGAAAATCCGGCTCCCTTTCTCAGCCATCTTAACTCCACCTTTCACAGCTGCTTTGTGGATTGCATCGTAACTATCTAACCGGAGCTTTTTCTTATTCAGCCACAAGTAACACAGTCTACTCGATTCTATCATTGTGTAGGCGTCCACAAGGAACTGATGAAACAATCTGCATGATCTTGTAATTGTAGGTGCTTCCCCCTTCCTCTCTAAAGTCCGAAATGTGAAGAACTCACGCATTGTTATTGACTTGCGTGTTCTCCACGTGGTGTCTTCAAAACCAATAGGAATGTTTAATCGAAAGCCATCCTCTTCATATGGAAATAAAAGTGGATATTGGAGAGGCAAATACGCCGGATGTAACTCACTTATCCTTTGCAACTTTCCACTTGTACTCTCGAGGACAATATCTCGTGTCTCCATATTTAAAAAAAAAATCTCCTAGTATCAAAGCAGCCACTTCATTTGCAGTCGGGAGATTATGAGTCCGTCCATCAGATTGGCGACCTTCAATCAACCTCATCATGTAACCTGTTGATCCTTCTATGTCGAATCTGTCTCTTGCAGACCTAAACGCCTTAACATGAGGATTACACTGATCTAACATATTCTTCACAATAAGAACTAGGGCTGGAGTTATTTTTCGGGATCCGGATCCGATCCGAGATACGCTTCAAAAATAGGATATTCGGGGGTGTTTGGATCCGGATCCGGATAGTAAAATCTTGGATCCGTCTAAACCGGATCCAAATCCGGATATCTTAGTTTTAGGTCTGGATAGTAAATGTTTTTAAAAATATTAAATATTTTATTTTATTATTAGTTATATATAATATATTAATATTGATAATAAAATAAGTTTTATAATATTCTATTTTAATATTACTAATATTATATGTCATATATATGTTCATAA